CCCCCCCCCCCCCCCCCCCGTCCCACATCCCATGGCTGCCTTCCTCTGCCCAAAAGGAAAATGTGATTCATCACATTCAGCCAGTTGGAAAACAAATCGCATGCACAGAGCGCGCGCTCGCGCACGCACAGGGATAGACACGGGCTGGGGGACGAAGGAAGAGCAGGGGAAGAGAAGGGAGAGGAAGGCCACCCCGATAAGTGGGAAGGGGGAAGAGGAAAAGGGAGGGTCCGCGGGGGAAGGACATTCCGATAGCAGGGGGTCGAGTCTTTAGACACCCCAAGAACAGAGGGGTGAGGACGGGGAGCAGGGCCTGATGGGGGAAAGGAAGGGAGAAGAGGAGGAAAGGGATCCTCAGGCGGTTTGTGGGGAGGAGCAGGAGGAAGAGGAGGGGGGTCCGCAGGCACCCCCAAAGCAGGGAGGGGAGGAGCTACATTAGAGAGTCTGACCCCCCCCACCTCTTCACCCCATCCACCCCCCAGCAGCAAAAATACAGAGGAGGAGGGGGCGCACGAGAACAGGCTGGAAATCGCCCTGGGGATGGCGAGGCGTTGAGTCAGAAGGGTGAAAAGCGGTTCCTTGTGCAAATTCACTCTTATTTGTGTCTACAAACAACATTCATAGGGGGAGGGGGAGGGGGTGTTTAGGAACCAGGCGTGGGTGGGAGTGGGTGGGCAGGAAAGGGGGAGGGAAGAGGGTACCCTGTACCTATTTTTGCTATGGTTTTTATTTTTTTAAAGAAGTCTTCTCTACGACAACGTGTCCCATGCGAAATGCCCCTGATAGGAAGAGTTGTGGGGCTGGTTCTCTTCTACCTGCCCCCGGTTTAGGGGGGGGGCCCATCCGCACTCACCCACCCACCCCCACAACGGTCCTCCTAAGCATGCCCCCCTACCTTCTCAGAACCGAAGAGGGGCGGAGGCCGGCCACTCCTCTGCCTTGCCTTTCTTCCAGGCCCCGTAATCCGGGCGCCCCTTGCCTGCCCTGTCCCTCAAAGAAGCCCGCCTTTCTTCAGCCTCTCGGGCACCGCTGGATCTCCTCGGCTCTCCCGAGCCGAGCCGCCCATCCCCAGGCCCCCGTGGGCGGCGGGCGGCCCCTCATGCCCCACCACGCCCCGGCAAGGGTTCATCGAATAGCTGAAGACATTGGGCAGGAAGGGCAAGGGCTGGCCACTGTCGCTCGGAATGACCATGTTCAAAGCCACCGGCAGGGTGAAATTGTAGGGGTAGGCAGCCAGCAGCTGGTGCCCATACATCAGCGGGTACGGCTCGGGGTAGAAGCTGACTTTACCGTCGCCGCTGCTGCTTCCGGCCTTGCTGACGGTGTTGAACTGAATGGCGCTGGGATAAGCCAGGAACGAGGCCTTGTCTTCCACCTCCTTTCGGCTCCGGCAACTCCCGGGCACCAGCAGGGGCAACGGATACTCCTGGACTGGGTATCGGTCGCCTTCCATCTCCTGGGCCGCCAGGATCTCTTTCTGAACCGGGCCGGTGTGAGAGATGATGGGGTCTTGAAGAGAGCGGGGTAGATCTGGCGGCAGGTCGGCGAGGCTAGTGGTGGTCGTGGTGGCCTGTAGCAGTGGCGAGCAGATGGGTGGCTCCTCGTGAAAAGGGGACTTGGTGGCCCCTGGCGGCGACAGGTTTTCATCTTCGGGCCGAGGGGTGTGCCTGCTGTACGGCACTGTTTCTGCACAGCCCTCCTCGGGCACCTCTGGCTGGCCTCCGGGTGCCTCCCCGCTGGAAGACGACACCTGCATCTCCTGAGTGGTCTCTTCCTTGACCACTGGGGGAGGGGTGGGCATGGGCACCTCGGTGGGCTTCTTGGAGTAAGCAATGACCGTGGTAAGCACCGGCAGGGGGACCTCCTCTTGGCCTTCATGCCGTTTCATGTGGCGGCTCAGGGCCGCCGCGGTCTTGCAGACCTTTGTGCAGTGGGCACAGGCAAACTTCACCAGGGGCTTGCGGCCCACCCGGTGAGGGGTGGCTGTCAAAACCGCCACGGCCTGGCTGTCCTTGGCAAGGCGGGCATGGACCCGTTCGTGCTTCTTCAGTTTCTTGAGGGCCGAGAAGAGTTTGCCGCAAATGCCACACTCGTGCTTCCATTCAGTGCCCCGCCCACCCCCCACTTTGATTGGCTGGTCCATCTCATCCCGGTCGGAGGCAGCGCCCTGTCCCCCGGATACTTCGGCAGAGCCCGGACGGTGGGGTCCCGCTCGGCTTCCCTCCTTGTTTTCTTCTGACCGCTTCATCCAGTGCAGGGAACGCAGCTTGTGCCGCCACCGCGACTTCTTCACCTTCGGCAGGGCTTTGCTGCTGCCGCTGCTGCCGGGCTTCCGTTTGGGTTTGTAGCTGTAGTAGGGGCGCCAGAGTTGGTCTTCTGTGTCTCCGCGGTCGCTGTCCTCCTCACCGCTCTCGTTCGCAAACACCCTCTCGGCCCGCTTGCCGTGGAGCGTCGGAGGCAGGAGGGAGTGATGCGGTTTCTCACTGCTCAGATCATGGCTGAAATCCAGGCGCCTTCCTCCCACCCGGGTGCTTTTGTCAAGCATGAGGTCGGTTTCCGAGATCCGCCGCTTGACGATGGCTTCCTCGCCGATGCGGACTGTGATCTGGCAGAGTGGAGCTGCTCGGCTTTCGGAGGTGGCTCCCACACAGGCCGGTTTAGCCATGTAAGTCATGGTGCGCCCACTCCGCGGTCCCCTCGATTTGAACCCCTGCTCACTGCCGTCCTCTTCCGAAGCCTGCCCCTCCATCTTCTGGGACTGGATGTATTCTCTCAGGACCTGCTTCTTAATGGGTTTGGTTATAGCTGGAGAAGGGGACTCCAACTGGGACAGCGATGGTGCAGTCCCCGCATTCAACAGAGCGCTGGATGACGTGCTGTTGTACGTGATCACGGAAGGAGCCTGGGCTTTCACCGAGGTGCTATGAACGATCACAGAAGAAGTGGGGTGCCCGTAGGCGATGACGGTGGGTGCCTCTGTGCTCAAAGACCGGGCCGGTTTGCCCAGCTGGCTCTCCTCACTGGGAGTTGGAAAGACGGACGTCTCCTCGGTGCTTGTGGTTTCCTGCTGGTGGGTGCATTCGGCCTCAGGCAATTCTAAAGAGGCATTCATGGTGGGGAAGACGGAAGCCACGTCACCGGCGCTCAAGGAAGAGACCAGGTTTCCATCCAAGGGACCACTCTCCCCCAGGGTCATGGGGACGGCACGCGTTGGGTGCAGAAGGTCCTCGGATGCCACCGCCTGGCTGTACGTTTTATACGGCCTCTTCTGGGAGCGCATGGGCAACAGGCGGTAGAGTTTCAACGCGTTCAGTTTAGGCTTGTAACCCCCGTTAGGGGTCTTCTCTGAGGAGATGAGGCCAGGATTGATCCCGTGGAAGGCTTTCTGATGAGTCTTCAGGTTGTAGTAAGTCACAAAGGTCTCCCAGCAGAAGATGCATTGGTAGCGACGTTCCCCGGTGTGCCACACTTCGTGCTTGGTGCGGTACTCGGCCAAGGCGAACACTTTGTCGCAGTAACGGCACGGGTATTTCCGGCGCCAGGAATGGACATTGGAGTGACGCTTGAGACTGGAGAGGGTCATGTAGGACCGCTCGCAGACGGTGCAGAAGTAGATGATGTGCCCGTCTACAACTTTGACGAAGTGGTCTTGGTCGGAGAGATAATCCATGCGTGGCGGGCCCCGATGGCGGAAGAGCATCGCCTTTTTGGAAGAAGCCGCTACAACTGTTGGCTTGGAAGGTAACTCTGGGCTGGCGGGCGCCTTGTTGGCGGGGTCCCCCTCTTTGGGTTTCTCCCCCTCCTTGCACAAGACTTCGTGTGTCTGCAGCCGCTTGATGTGGATGAAACTTTTGCCGCAGTGGCGGCAGGAGAGTGAACGCCGCGTCCGGTGGAGCTTCGCGTGGAGGCTGAGGGCGGAGGATGTCGCAAAGGACCGGTTGCAGCTCCCGCAGCAGAAGGTGCTGCTGGCTGGGTAGGAAGCCCCGGAGGGGGACGAGGGGGAGGAAGAAGAGGCGGACGCTGGCACCCCATCGTTTGGGTTGACAGAAGCTACAGGAGGAGCCCCGGAGAGGTTGTGGTCCCAATCGATGTTTTCCTTCAGCACGAAGGTCAAATCGGAGGCCGTGGGCGGCGGTACGGCCGCAACGGAGCTCAGATTGTAGAGGATCTTGGCCGTTTCGGTTTCGGAGTCAGGGCGGGGCTCCTGCCTGGGGCTGTACACTTTGGTCAAATCCTGCAAACAAACAGGGCTAGAGGGTTCTGAAGAACGGGAGGGGCAGGTGAGGTCAATGGGGGAGCCACACCCTCGAGGGGAGGCCATGCTGGGACTGTCCATCTTAACCTCCGCCAGGGGATCATCCAGGTTCTCCAAGCGGGAGATGCCCAACCGTCGGCCTACCACCCCAATCTCCTTGGCAATGGCCGGACTGGGCACCGAGAGCCGAGAGTTATAAATGAAGTTCAAGATGTCCGAGAAGATTTTCGCCTGGATGTCGGGAAGCTCCAGGATCTGGCGCGGCTGGCGAGATGCCGATTCCTCGGAGAGGACCTCCTTGAAGTAGGGGCTGGAGGCCGCGAGGATGTTTTTGTGGGCCTTGAACTTAGTGTCTTCGGCGATGATGGTGATATCACAGAACTGTCCGCGTAGCCGCTGCTCGTTCAGCTGGATCAGAAGGGAACTAGAATGGCTGCTGTCTGTGAGCTCCACACCCGAAGCCATCGTGCTGCCTCGGACCTATGGCGAAAAGGAGAGACAACGATGTGGTGACATCAGGGAACACTGGGAAGCCTGGATTTCGGAGTTCACTGGTCTCTTATCACAGCCTTTCTTAATCTCAACCGCTTTAAGACGGTGGGACCCACTCTCAGAATTCCCGCTCAGATCGGGAAGAGAATTAAAAAGATGGTGGGAATGCGGCAGATGTAATATATCTTGATTTTGATCAAGGGGGAAAAAAAATTAACGCTCAACAAGCTGAATTAATAAACCGGTTAAGTGTGGGCTACAGGCCAGGGGTCTCCAACCTTGGCAACTTTAAGCCTGGAGGACTCCAACTCCCAGAATTCCCCAGCCAGAGTCGCTAGACTTCGACTCTCTGGCTTGTTTACTCTCTCGTCATTCCTTCCTCTGCAATCTCGAGAGAGTAGGAGAAAAAACAAGAGGTATGGTTGAATGGGGAATTCTGGGAGTTTAAGTCCTCCAGGCTTTTAAATTGCCATGGTTGGAGACACACACACACACCCCGGACTAAACGGGTGTGGCAGTTAAATGGAAAACTGATTGGAGGGAGGGCTGGGGAATTCTGGGAGCTGAAGTCCAGCCCAGCCATTTTAAAGTTACCATGGCGGGAAAACACCCACTCTATCTAGTTCCCCCCACCGCCCCCCCAAGTGAAGACAGGCCCCCAGTGCAAATTCACTCCCCCTGGAGGAAACAAGAGACACAAAAGGTCGCGTCGAATGCCAAGAGCACATCTCAGTGGTTTTGGTTGCGGGCCGAGAGAGGTTTGAGGCCGAAACATCGAACTTGAGGTTGCCGGGGCACCGTTTTCGGGAAGGAGGGCGAAGCAGGCTCTTGAGGTGGCACTTCCTGGAAACAGCCGACGGAGCGACAGGAAGTGGCCAACTTTGCGCAAGTCCGTTGGCGAGACACAGGCCCTGCTGTTTTTCCAAGCCTGGCCAGCCACGGGCACGGCACGCCTGAGAAACTCTTGTTCCTTCGTGAGATGGATGCCACTTGGCCGCTCCGTTCTTGCATTCCCCTCCCCCTTGAGCCATTTTGCACACGGAATTCCCTTCCTGGCAGCCTTAAGATGGCCGAAGGATGCCACGTCCGGTGCCAGCTGAGCTGAAAAAAAAGCAAAGTCCAGTCCGGTTTTTGACTCGGTCCTAAAAATGCAGCCCTGGGGTGGCTGCTCTCGCGCCAGAGGTAGCCGCTGCCCGTTTTTGGTCCACCCAAGCCATGCCCCCTCCCTAATACGGTGGTATTTCCCTCCCAATTCTTGCTTACTTCCCTGGCCCGGGGGGTGGGTGGGTGGGTGGGGGTGGAGGTGTTACAAATAAGCCAGCCTATTTCGCACGCGTCGGGAAAGTCAGGGGTGCACGCACTGATATTCACACGCCCGTGTGAACGGAGACAGAGAGGTGTACCATCCGGTGTCAATCATCCCAAGAGCTGCAGTCTCTCTCTCTCTTCCCGCCCTCGTCAGTGTCTCTCTCTCTCTCTCTCTCTCTCTCTCTCACACACACACACACACACACACACACACACACACACACACACGCTCGGTATCCCTTTCCTGGCAGTGATGGGAGTATCCAAACGGAAAGGGGGTTTCTATGGAAACAGGCCGGGATGGAGCAGAGAAGGAGAGGCGGGGGGGGGGGGGGGGGGGGGGGGGGGGGGGGCGGGGGGGGGGGGAACGGAGATTTGGGGAGGGGGGGGGAACGCTGCAGTCAAACTGGATGTTGTCGTGGAGGACAGGCAAGGCGGCAGATGTGGGACCACCAGAGAACGTAAAGACTACCCCCCCCTCCTAGAGCCGGTAGGTTTGATGGCAAAGATTGGTGCTTGCCAGTAGGGTGGTGAAAGCAAGACACATGCACATGCCCGCACACACATCTGGGCATGGCGTCCTTGTCCTTGTAGGTCAGAGGCCCCGCTGATCTTTTTAAGACTTGTCACAATGGTCTCCTGGCAAGTAGGATTTTGCCCTCCGTAAATATCGTATCAGTGGGTAAAGAAGATGGAACGAAAATCTCCCAGCACCCCCTTTGCCCCTGGGCATCGTGCAAAATGGTTCCTGGGAAATGTAGCCCTGTTGCACAAACACACACACACGTAAATTGTTCAACCATTGGACTTGATTTCCCCAGCGCCAAGCTCTATCGCAGAGATCTCCAAACTTGGCAGCTTTAAGACTTGTGGACGTCGACTCCCAGAATTCCTAGCTATGCTGGCTGAGGAATTCTGGGAGTTGAAGTCCACAAGTCTTAAAGTTGCCAAGTTTGGGGGACCGCCTGCTCTAAAGTCAAGGGGAAGGACACTTGCAAACCCACCGAGGAGCGAATCGAGCTTCGAAAGCTTCAACCGAAGCTTTCTTCCCCTTTTTTTTTTTTTTTTCCCTAAAACGTGTTTGCGTGTCCGGGAAAAAAAAGGAGATTCCTTCATTGTCTTGGCTACCAACGATGAGGCTTCTCCTAGAATGTCAGACAACCTTGGAGATTCAAGCCCCCCCAAAAAAGAAAGTTTGCAGGTTTTCCTAAAATGCTCCAGGTACTACCAATAAAGGAGAATATTTATAGCTCGGGGTTGACATGAGCTGGGTGGTTTTTCTGGCAGACGTTTCATGACCCAACTAGGGAACGTCGTCAGTGCTAGAAGGGAGGGGGGGGTTGCATGGGAGGAGGAAGAAAGTAGAATCTTGGGTCCTCTCTGAGCTTGGCTGTTTTCTGGCCGACGTTTTACTACCCAACTAGGTAATATCATCAGTGTGAGAAGGAAGTGGGGTTTGCAAGTAGGAGGAAGAGGAGGAGGAGGAAGATGTGGAGTTCTTGGATTCTCTGAGCTGGTTTGCTTTCTTTCAGACGTTTCATTACCAAACCAGTAATATCATCAGTGCACGAGTTCACCACCTAGTCAAATACTGATGACCTTGCCTAGTTGGGTTGTGAAACGTCTGCCAGAAGAACACCCAGCTCAGAGAGCACCAGGGACCCCTGGCGCGTATCTGGAAGAGTCACTTTTTTTTTTTTGCTTACTTCACACACGCACACCGCATTTGCAAACATATCCAACCCTGGATGGAGGCACGTAAGCCACGCTATGGAAGGAATCCCGTTTTGGCTGCGGGCAGAGGTGGTGGGAATTGGGCACGGAGACCGCATTGAGGGATGACGCCCGAACTGATAAGAAGAAGGAGGAGGAGGAGGAGGAGGAGGAGGAGGAGGAGGAGGAGGAGGAGAAGAAGGAGGAGGAGAAGAAGGAGGAGGAGAAGAAGAAGAAGAAGAAGAGGAGGAGGAGGAGGAGGAGGAGGAGGAGGAGGAGGAGGAGGAGGAGGAGGAGGAGGAGGAGGAAGAAGAAGAAGAAGAAGAAGAAGAGGAGGAGGAGGAGGAGGAGGAGGAGGAGGAGGGGAGCAGATTTTTTTATAGGGCTGGATTGCTTGTGAGTCACAGAGGCTGATGTCAGCAGATTGGATGGGGAGAGGCAACAGGGCTGGGGGGGGGGGGGGAGGGGGGGGGGGGAAAAAGAAGGGGATGGTGGAACAAAAAGGAAAAAGGAACGGGGAGGCGAGGAACAGGACAGGGCTAAGTGCAGGGAGGCGGGGGAGGGAGAGGGAGAGGAAAAAGAGAGAAAAAGAGGAAGAGACAGAGAGA